CTCCAATCCACTCTTGCCACTCAACCTAAAGGCGTTAGCCTTGTGGTTTAAACTGTTTCATTGTGTTTTTTACCCGGACTTTATTGAATGGCCATTTAACAAAAGTACTAAGTATTTATTTTGGGGAGTTGCACGAGACTGAGGCTTGTATGGCTAAAGCAAGGGGTATGAGCATAGTGGATGGTTGAAGTTGACCCCGTGTAGTGCGTGGACTTTTGTCGAATCTTTGATGTGATTGCAGGTATGTTTGTGGTTCGGACTCTGGATGTGACTGTCTGCGATTACATACATATATGGCTGAGAGGAGTCTCACTGTGACTGTGAGAAGCGATTGTCCTATATAAATAAACCTTATGTATATATTTATATGTGCCTTGGGTATGCGCGCGGCTTACTGCGATCGTGTGCAAGGGTTAACCAAATTATGGCTTGAGAGAAAAGGGGGACCCTCTTTTATCCTTTGCTTTTTAGAGATTTTTATAGTCGGACGTTGGTCTTGGGTCGGGATTCAAGGTCCTTGTCCAGGACATCCCAAGCCCTAGGCTCTGCAGGGAAGGAATCTGCCCCCGTGCAAAGCCTATTTGCCTTGCCTACCGAGACGCTCAGACCAAAGACCGGAGGTCTCACGATGCTTGTACGACTATTCCTTAAACCGTGCAATAACGTGAGGGATTAGACCCTCACGACACTTCAAGTCTGACACTTGAGCGTCATAGGCGGTACTCGGATCCAAGAGGGAATGTTTGATTATGGGCACTACATAGTACGTCATCATTGCGACTGCTTGCGTACGCATGCATTGCGAGTCGATATGAGTTTAGCGTTGCGTCCACGCGGTTTTATACTAAAGTCCCGCGCGTGACGCCTATCCGATTTCCGCGTCAAAAAGTTATGGGATGACTACTAAGGGACTAGGAGTATTGTCGGGTTGATTGATATGTGAGTGTGTGTTTTATTTTTGTCTTCGTAGAGTGGTGTACACATGGTGTGTGGGATACGTCCTAGTCGACCGACGACGGGCTGCGCTTGGGACTTCAGCCCCCCAAGTTGACGGTTCGCGTGCGGGTCCGATAGAGGCGTATTACCGCGCGTACCCCCTATGCTACAGCGAACGAGAAACGCCCTCGGCTGGTCCACTTCTGAGATTGCAACTGATCAACTTTCATATTGTGGACTGGTAGCTCGGCGGGGATACGCCCACTGAAGGGAGGTGACATCTCCCATAAGGTGGAGGTAAGTCGTGCCTCGCGTAGGCCCTATCCTGTCGTAGGGGCTCGCGGGAGGTATGGTTAGCGCACTCGGCCGGAGCGGCTTGGGGAAACTCCAAATATATTCGCGACGAAGGATTTAAACCAACTCTTGCGTGACGAGGCCGGGAGGGTCCCGCGCTGCCTCGTGCAGTGCTGAACCGATGCGCTGGACTGGTGGCGCCCTTGTCGGGGATAACGGTTGCCTGCCGTTGTCCCTGGTGGAACGACATCCGGGTATGGGATTGAGAAAAATAGGCAAAGTGGGAAGCTTTCTTTGGACTTTTGTGGTTAATCGATTCATGGTATTAGATAGAAAGCGAGAGGGTTGGTTGAGCGAGATGGTTATGGCTAGTGCAGTGACGATGGCACAGGAAGAATAGACGTTTCAACTATGCGATCAAGTACTTTGACTAGCCTGGCGGTAGGTGGAATTGATACCTTCTCCTGACCCTAAAAGTTGGCAGGTTTTGGATGATGTCTTGGATGGCTGATATGGCTAAGGGGAGATGAGGGGGTATCAACACGCTGAGTGTGAGGGTTGTGGGAGTTGGCCTTGTAAGGGAGCCTATTATGTTAGAAGTCATCGAAGGGCCTTGAGGAAAGTTGGGTTAGGGAGGCCAAAGGCTTTATGAATTTGGAGATGGGATCCTTGAGTCTGGGCTCTAAGCGGTTGTTTGGGCTAGATACCCATGAAGGTGTGAGGTCTGCCACGAGCGAAGTGTTTGAGCTGGGCGTATATATAGCCGTGACGGGTGTAGTGAGCGTCGTATTATGACCTCAATGGAAAGGACTACGAGAAGTAGTAGATTTGTATGGCACCTTTGTCGTTGAAAGAGGATATCTGATCCTGAGGGGTAGTCGAAGTAACAGTGAAGGGGCTAACAGTTAGACTATTTTGCTTACCTTTAATGGGACAATGGGTGGTAATTGATGTTAGATCTTCACTAAAACCTTTCCAGGTTTGAACCATCCACTTGAGTCTATGAGTTGGAACTAAGGACTTGAGACTGACTGTTTGAGGGCATCTCTATTTGAGTTATATGTTGAACTCGTCCATATATGCCAGATTTTACATGAGTATGTTTGCCTAATGTTAAATTATGTGAAGCTATGTGTTTTGATGATTATATTTGCTTTGATAATTATCCTTGTCAGAAGTATTTACTTGGGCTATGTATCTGAAGTATGTATTTGAACTATCCGGTCTGCAAGGATTTACAGGAGTGTCTCAAGTCCAATGATCGATTTATGGATGTCTATTAAGGTTTGTGTGTTTGGATTGCTCTTCAAAGAGAGGGGGGTAAATATATTACGCATAATCCACGTCTGATGCGGATTCAGAGGTGAATGGAGTGACCGCCTCTTGAGATAAGTACTTCTCAGGAAGTGGTTAATGTGTAAGGTCTACCCTAAGGAAGGTTGCAATCCTATGTTATTGTTCCCCTGAAAGATGACTTTGAAGAAGTTATAATTTTGTCTTGTAAGTAGTAATGAGACCCATGCCAGAAGTATGTTCCTTGTCCATAGTGGGGTATTGTTGTTGTATCTCTTGTGATAAAATAACTATACTACTACTGAAAAGGAGAAAAGTAATGAGACCCACGTCGGAACTATGTTCCTTGTCTATAGTGGGGTGTTGTCGTTGTATCTCTTGTGATAAAATAACTATACTACTATTGAAAAGGAGGAAAGTATTTGAGTCTTGTTAGACCTTGGCCTATGAGGGAAGCAGCTACTACATGCTGCAAAAAGGTAGGGGGTGAATCCCCTGCTATTTTTGCATCAAGTAGGTTCACCAGCACAGGACGGGATAGCGCACCCCGAAGCGTGTATGGTGAGGCTGGTTACCTTGTAGGCAAGGTTCTGCAAGGAGCGAATGCTAGAATCGGAGGGAGCAGCAGTGAGGCTTAATCCTTGAGTGAGACTTGGGGATTTAAGATTATATCCTTTCTAAAAAGGGGTTACACTGCCCCTCGCCACAGTATCTTCTGTCAAAGCCAAGGAAGTAAAGTGTGATACTCTCGCAAGAATTATGTCTGAGAGTGCTAACTGTTGGCAATCATACCCTTGATCATAATGTGCCTATCATTCGTTATGCATGTTGACATAGGCCTGTCATATGAGATATTTATGTTTTGAGTAACTGACTAGCTTGTGTATGATGTGTATGATTATTATGAGTGTTATTGTTGTTGGTTACTATGGTGATATATCGTTCCTCCATGAGTATTATAATTATGAATTTTCGATATCTATGAATGCAATATCGTCGTGATATATTACCATTACTATTTTTCTCTAAACTAGGTGGTCGTAAACGCTGGAAGGGATGCATTATAGGGAAAGATAACTTGAAGCTGAGGCTTCAGGGGTGACGGTTGTAGAACCTGATTGTCGACATAAGTAACGAAAGGCGTACGCTGGAGGTTTTTATGTGATGGGCAGAACCCAGACTAGAGCAAAGGCAACTCATGATGTTTTATGCGGAGGAAGATCCCTGTGTGACCCTACCAGTTAAATGGGGAGATGGGCTGGAGATATCCTTGCCGAGGCAAGTCAGAGAAGGAGAGTATATCTCTTCCTGGTGGGGCATGTCGATAGATAAAGGGGTCTTTATTTGGATCCAGTCTGGCCTTAGTGATGATCAGGACTGCGCGATTGTGAGGGTGACGCTGTACGCCTCGCCATCATTCTGGGTCCTGCACGGGATAGAGTTGGCACTTGGGCATGAAAGCCTACTCGCGAAACCTTTGAGAGTAGCTGAGGCAGCCGCCGCAAAATGGCCAAGAGGCAGGGTCCAGGAAAGGGAAGAGCAGGTGGTGACCCAGGTAGAGGTCAAACACGCGAAAGAGTTTGCACTTCCCTCAACCCCATTACGCGTTACCCTGCCAGAGGTCTTAGTAGAAGAAAGCTTTGGGGGACATGCAAGAGTGGAAGCCGCTGCAGAAGCCGCTGTGAAGGCACGCGAATGGGGGTATATGCGATACACGTGCGAATTGATATATGGCCTGTATCTAGATCATAGATTTGTGCCCGGTAGCCAATGACTCAGGAGCGTGGCCAAGGTGGTTGATGCGTATGCAAGCTCCCATGATCCCGATGGGGAGGCTGTAGACTGGGCAGCTGGCCGGTAGAGGGTGCCCTTGTATCCTGCTGGAGTATGTCTCTTATGGACTTGAACATATAAATGGATATGGGAGCTAGGACGGCAGGCCAATTAGTTGTGTAAACTGAGCCCCTATGTGTTAGTCGACAAGATGTATTAGATGAGTTGCGAGGCATGTACAAATGTATTCTGGTGCATGAGGTGTATATAACGGATCCTGAGAGGCTCCAAGTTTGCCCGGATAGGTTTTTTCCTTAGTCCAGGTGTCTAAAGACATGGGTAGGTCGGTTAGGACGTGAGGGGGAGCCTCGCCTATGATACGAGTACGGGGCTCAGTAACATTGGTAGCCTCGTTTACTGCCTGCCTAAGATCGGCTTCGAGGGCTCTGCCTATGTGGGATGTATATTGTCTATAGAACCCTCTAGCTAAAGTTAGGGCCATATTGTATAATCAATTTTTAGTAGCCCTGTTTGCTTTAAGCTATCTTGCGCCCCAACCTGATGGTCGACTGCTTGTCATGCGTGTCAGGCCGGTACCAGCATCATCGCTGAAGAGAGCGGTTTCGCCAAAATCATATCCTGGAGGAGTACGTGCCTCAATAAAGTGTTGCTGTGCGAGTCAGTGAGTGACTCGATGCCCCCAGAGCTCCGCGCCCTGCTGTTTCAGGGGAGGGGGTTGGCTGCCTTCCTGGGCGGCTATCAGGATTTCACCCTCGAGGAGATGTGGGACGAAAAGACGATGTGGAGCATGCTGCCGCTGTTTGTCTGCGAGGAGTTGAGTGAGGAGGTGTACACCCTCATGCTGAAGTCGCAAACTTGGGATGAGCTGGGAACTTCTCTGAAATTGAGGTTCCCAGAGGATGGGATGGAAGGTCAACTTGGTAAGGGCCCTGAGCAGCCAGTCGAGGCTGCGTCAACACAAGGGGAGTTAAGTGGTATACAGAGGCAAGTTGGGATGTTGGAAGAGAGGTTGACGCAACTAGAAGAAGCCAGGCATGGCAAGAGGAGAGTTTCCGAGGGAGTATCGAGTGGGCCGACTGCGAGAGGCAGAGCAGAGGGAGGGAGGGATCATCAGGAGCTACTCCCCCACAAGAAGACCCCACGAAAACGAGTTTGCGCCCCACGGAAAGAGATGAAGATGAGGGGGTCATTGAGATCAAGGAGGAGCAAGGATCTAGTATGGTTCTACCTGTTATTGCACCTGAGCCAAAGGGGGGGCCCATTAACAGGGGAGCGTCCTCGGCTACGGGTTGGGAGAGGCAAAGGAGTTAGTGGTGGCCAGAGCACTGGGCAAGGATGGTATATGATCGTTGGGAAAAGATTGGTCGTACCCCTTAAGGAAGTAAAGAAAAGGGAGTGACAGGGGTAAAAGGGGAACCTGAACCTCCCAAGCTGACAAAGGCTCAACGAAAAGCGAGAAACCTGGCCCTGAGAGGCTAAGGTACTGGAAAGGGGCAATGTTCGCGACAAGTCGGAGCCGCGCGGCAGGAATTAGGAGGCAAACCAGCACAGGAAGAACCTCCACCGATTGAGCGGGCATCGTACGGACAGTGGACTCCATGCGGTCAAGTGGGACCAAGACCTATATATAATTCATATCTGCCCTGGATGCAAGGCGGTTGTTTGGGCCCACAAATGAGTATAATGCTGCTTGGGCCTCCTGCAGCCCAGCTTCGTCCAGCTCTGCCTATGGGGCTGTTGCAACCACTGGCACAACAAGTGTTACAAGGCGACGTGGCCGGTGGAGGAAGCCAAAGGCAGGAAGCTGGAAGAGGCCGCGGGACTGGAGGGCGCGACAGTAGAGGACGCGGTGGCGGCAGAGGAGGCGTTGGAGGACGTGATGGGCATCAGCGAAACCATAAGTGGAATGCAAAAAAGAAAAAGGCCTGATAAGCGACGGTTTGTATGGTAGTTGGGTAGGTAAAGCAGCCAAAAGTACGGGAAAAGAGGATGGAATGGTCGAAAATTGCGAAGAGTAGTAGTGGTTTCGCAATTTAGTAGTGGATGGAAAAGAGGATGGAATGGTCCTGGTCGGGAAAAGAGGATAGTTCTGGTCGTTTTGGTTTGTTTTACCTTTAGTAGATTCAGTCGTATGTACGGGAACGTGGGATGAGGATAGGAGGTTAACCGGTTGCGTAATTTTAATTATGTACTCTAATCATAGGGAAACCTGACAATGTACCAAGAGGGTTTTGTAATAATGGTCCGGTAAGATAACCCGAGTTGCGGGCGGGAGGAACCCCAATAGAACAGTTGTATATGTAGGGTACGTTAGGCCCGCCTCAGATCGAGTTATTGGAATATTTCCCGTAGATAGAGCAAAAAGTGACCTTAAGGACATTGTTACAAAATAAAGGTTTATTCTACTGAGCTTATTGATTGAGAGAAAAAGATATGGGACCTACTTCGCGTCTAGGTCCAGATGGTTGTACAGGTGTGGGATGTATGAGAGACTTGGGAAGAAACCTCGACATGTGTGAGGTAGACTCTCTAACCTAGAAGTATAGTTTGTGGGACTTGTGTAAGAATGATTCCTAGTCTTACTTTCCTTGGATGTTTGGATATGTCTTGAGTTACTTGGATCCCTCTGATTTGAGGGATGTGATTACGTCCTGATCCAGACTGTTTCAGTTCTAGCTCTGGTCAGGGAGGTCGCGATTTTTGTGTGTGATACTGGTGCCAGTTTGAGTTGAGATTGTTCAGCTCTGTGTGTATATATGTAATTCAAGATCATATTTTGAGTTGGGACACTACATTCCGGAGTGTATACTTGAGTTGAGGTTTTATCCGAGACTATTTTCTTGTATATGACGATCACAATCACTCTCACATGTGTGGATTTTATCCTGATGAATGGTGATTTTGTGTGGAAAAACATGTAAGAGGCACCTTGTGTGCCATAGAATTGTGAGAATGGATGAATGTGGACTGTCTACTCTCTGGTATACTCGAGCGATCTGCCCACGGGCGGGTGATAGGGCCGAGTATAAGGAGAGGTAGTGTAGTTTGTTGTGTGACAGAAGTGTGAGAATCCTAAGGGATTTTGCGAGTCTCTGAGACTCGAATACTTACTATGCCGGATGTTTACGGTGGAGAGGACCCATAAGTAGGTCTCTCAGTTTGAGTTGTTTTATGGTTGAGACCCCTTCAGATTAAGGAAGGTGGTAATGTTGTTTATTGGGAGACTCATTTCCAAAAGGAAGGTGTTTTAAAAAAGGTCGCGTGATAGATCATCCTAGAAAGAGAGGGATGGTTGGGAGACCTATTGGGAGAGACCTCCTTTGTGTGAAAGATAGTTAATAGATTTAAGGGCATGGTAAGCAAAGTTTGAGTTGATAAAGTCAGACGAAAGGAACCAAAATTACGGATTGGATCATTGGTGGAACTGAGAAGGTCGCAAGTTAGTGCATTAAGATGTCGTGGGATGTGTGGTCTGCTGTCTCTGATCAAATCAGTGGGTCACGGCCTTGTGTGAGCCTAACGGTGAATTTGTTTGTGATCGTAAGAAGGGGCCGTGCTTTTTATGTTGTCCCATAGGGAGCTGGTAAACACCTTTAAAGGTGAGACTGACCCCTGTGTAGTCCCACAACGGGCCTGTGGTCTGTTTTGCGACGCACCGTCTAGACACTTGTGGTAATCCTAAGGCATATTAAGGAATACCAAGCTAAACGGTAAAGGTTAGCACCTCTAGGGCGCAACCCCTATTGGATGGCTGCAAGTCAGCACAACCCGGCTGCGGAACCACGTCTACCAACGGGGTAAGAGTTTAAAGGGTTATGCACGCCCCAGGGAATTACTCCGATGGGATGGCAGGGAATATGAGTCGAATCTTTCAGGAGTCCTGATTGAATGATTATCAGGAGGATACCTATCGTTGCATAACCGACGAGAGGATACTACTACTAAAGCAACAATGTGGTAAGTCGTAGATCTGGCTCGATCAACCAGACTATGGTGGGCTAGGATGGAGACCTAGCATTTCTGTACTAGACTGCAGAAGGAGCTGAGATGAGGTTTAAGTGTATATATGTACATGTGCTTGATTGTGAGGATTTTCGGGAGGGAGGCGAGAGTGTCTTCCGAGGTCTCATTTAAGGCCCGTGTCCCTGGGTATGACTCTGCTTACGAGAAAGAGTCTAGCCGGGACACTCAACGAGAGGCCGGCGTTTGTCTAGGACAAAGGGGAAAGGACGGTTTGAGGAGGCCTTTGGAACTTATGTTGTAGTATTGATGCGTAATACACCGGCGTCCTAATGTCAGGGCAATGGGGACCCAGGTTGAAACCCTCGCAACATACAGTTGTGTAGGCACAGATTGGTGGAGGCCTCTAACCTGAGTCTGTCGGCTAATCGGATTGGTTACCTTCTCGTTAGCATTTGGAGTTTTGGATGAATTTACAGCTTTCTGATTTGGCGAAGCGACGGGGACGTCGCTTAATATAGTCCGGTAAGCTATCGACGCGAATACCCTTACAAGGGTATCCGCCCTGGTTTTTGCAAGTGGCAGAAAATAGCTTTGGTATAAGAATTAAATATACCGCGCGAGTCGCGACAGGGTTCGTTGTCTATGCGACTGATGGTTGACTAGAATAAAGAATGTGTGGGCGTGTAGACTTGAGGCGCGCGTGATCTTTTTAATTGTTGATGACTGAGGAGTCGGCGTGATCGCTGACCGGAATTTTTTTCTTCTGATTAAACAGGGATTAGAAAGATTATGTCTCGTTGATTGATATGCTTGCCTGTGAACTGTGCGTACGTGCGGAGGACGACATCGACAACAATGTGACTTCTAAAGGCGTTTCAGTAGCTTGGCGCGTCACGCAGTGTCCGTTTATTTAGGCGTCCGTCAGAGCTAGACCCAGACTCGGGCCTAGCATTATTGGTTACGGCGTCGGACTTTCATCCGAGGGTTTCAGGGATCGAGACCGAGCGGCAATGACGCAGGGATCAGGGTGGCGTGAACGAAGCGAGGGGGGGGTGAGGGTCTGGTGGGGCTATCCCCCCTTAATCCTGCTATCCGAGGCGTCACATCTCTGATGGCAATTGCTAGATAGTTCTTTTTAGTGTCATACTTCTGTTTATTTTCTCTTTATGCTCCGGCGTGCCGTTGACTCGGGCTAACGTCGGACTTAATGGCCGCCTCGGCGCGGTCAAAGTTCAAGTTCGTAATTGCACTGGAGGAAAAAGGGTCAGTAACGCTGAGTGTATATGACCTATGTTTCGGGGTTGGTAGGGTCGCGTAGGGATTCCGAACT